TGTGTGCGTATGTTTGTGTGTATGTGTGTGTGCGCGTATGTGTGGATACAAATTTTCGTCGGCGATTTTGGCAACACGAGTAATTCGATTTGAATAATTAAAAAAGCATTTGATTTGTATTGATAAGGAGACGTGTTGATTAGTTTTGGTAAAGGCAGGTCGAGCCGTTTCGAAGATACGGGGCAAAAAGTGCCAAAAATGGTAGTAGATTTTTTATATAGAGAGAACGGAGCGTCCGATTTGTATGATTCAAAAAACATTTCATTTGTATTGACGAAATGAAAAACTGGAAAGGCAGGTCTAGCGGTTTCGGAGATCCAATAAAAAAAGTGAAAAAAATGCCATTTGGCGGACAAAAACTATCATTAGACATATGCATATCAAATCATCACATATTTTATAGATATTTTAATAACAGATTTTGTTCATTTTTTATGGGTTCTGTACCAATGTTTATCCGTCATACTGCGATGCGGCGCCTACGCGCTTCGATATTTTGTTTCTACGAAGCTAACGTATCCCGATTGCTTTGAAAAAATTTTCAAAATTTCCAAAATATTTCAAAGTATAAATAAAATCAAATTTTTCAAAAGTCAATTATTTTCAAAAATTTTAAACATCTCAAAAATCGATTCTAAGTTTAAAAACTTAAAATAAAATTGAATCTTTTTTCAAAATTTTAATTATTGGTACGGGAAATTTCAGCAATTTACCTTAAGGCCTGATGCCATGCACCACTAGCTCTTTTTCTTTTTGTTGTAATCGAAAAACAATCAGAACTTGAAGTCGTAGAATCTTTTGTGATGAAATTTCTTAACTAAAAATAAATAGCTTTTTAGAAGGCAACCCAGCGTTTTTCCCATTTTTATTCGATATATTTATAATATCAGATTTTATCTAATACTGATGATTTTTAATTTGATGCACCAATACCGTGGAAGAGATATTTTTACATGGAAACATATTTTCTATATTTTCAAGTAAAAACTGATGTCACTACTGCTAAAGTCAACACGTTTGATACATCGATGAAAGACAAGTTACCAAATATCATAGTTAGCGTCTAAGGGTTTTTATAAATATTTTTAGAAGGCTTTATCCAGATTATATTTCAGCAAGTCCAAGTACCGTATATAGATTAATGTTTTTTTATTGTTTGAACAGCAATCAAAACTTAAGAGTCATATAAGCTGTTGTGCTGATTTGACTTAATACTAAGTCGGTTTTACAGAGGGCAAACCAAACAGTTGTCTTATTTCTGTGTGATAAATTTCATTATTTAAATTTCTGTAATATGGTGACTATTTATTGATGTAGCAATGCCAGATTTTGACAGGGCTATTTTGACTTGAAAACATATTGCTATCTTTATTTCCAAATAAAAACCGATGTCACTAGTGCTTGACATCAGGTTGCTCGAAACGGATATCGAAGAGCTTAATGTTTGATATTACAACTTTCGCTTTAGTAATCGTGTTATTTATTTAACATTTATTAATCATCAATTATGCTTATTTTAACCAGTATGTATTTTATTCATCACTAATCAAAATGATGATTCCAACTCATGTGGCAACACATTCACCGCAATCCATCCCCGAACAATGCGCAAGAAGACTATTACCTATTTAATATTCAAGAATTAATACGCTTGTTTTCGTCAAAAGAATAGTTATTGTTTGGAAGACCGATCAAGAATTCATAAATCTATTTACTTTGTATTTTTAACGATTACTCAACACGTATAAAAATGTGAGTGCTCGAATACAATATATCTCTTTTATTGAACGAAGTCACCTGACATTGCGGACAAAGCGTGTTGTAAGTAGATTAGAAATTTTCTATGGTGTCAAATAATGCTCAACTGAAAACATTGCCACTGGCAAAATCATAAAAAATAATATTTAACCCTAGAACGGTTTTGTGCTTAACAAGTGATTTTTTTTTGTCTTTTGACATTGTATACTTTTTGATACCATAAAAGGTTATTTCAGAAAATATACTCTGGTTTAATAACAAATGGTCCTTTAATTTTTTCAAAATTTCTATAAGAATAGACCTCACCATTCATTCTTGTTTGCGTGCAGATACCATTCTAGGGTTAATCTTATTACTTCTAAATATATTTTATATGCGCCGAACATTTTTAAAAGCACAGAAGCTTTTAAAAATGTGAGTCATAATTTCACAAAACAATCGATAAATCAATCAAAACTATTTTTGTAATAATATTTAATTTATGTGTTACGATAAGTTATTATTTTCAATATTTCGTTGTTATCCGAAGAAATTATCGCGATTAGCAAAACATGGATTTTCAATTGCGTATTCAAAGTTTAAATTAACGACCAAAATTGTTTTGCATTTTATAATATATATATATATATATATATATATATATATATATGCATATATATATATATATATATATATATATATATATATAACGTGTGAACGTACTTGTTGAATATATATATGATAAGCAAAAAATCCGGATATAATGTGCTAATATATTTGATAATAGTATGATTATTGCGTTACTAATTTGAAAGGGTTTTTAGCGTATTTATCTTAAAATGGAATTTCAAATTATTGATCGTTTAATATTATATTTGTAATTTTAATTCGCTTGTTGATGCGTATTGTTTTTTATCTGCATTATATAATTATTATATGGTTAGAATTCCATAGCACGCTGCTGCAACTTGATATACATAAATAATATAATATTAAATATCATTGTGATTGTGCACGTTTGTTGTTTTAATAAATTGAAGTTCGGGCGTGGGCTAGCGCCAATTATTAGTCCCGGGTTTGGTGGTTCGATTTCCGACTCGGCCAAGCTAGACATCAGGCAGCATGATGTAAAATTTCCACTTGAGGTTATAGACCACAAATATAATCTCAAGTGAAAATCGTGGGCATATCTGCATTTAAATAAATATATACGCAAAACTATTAGATTTACATATCTATGTATATACAATTAACACGAAAATAAGAGTGGTTCACCACTGGGTTGCCCTCTTAAGACAATATATTTAGTTTAAGATGTACGTCAGAAAAACAGCTTATAAAATACGTCGTTCCGATTGCTGTTCAAATAGAATATAAGAATAAATGAATAATAATAAATATAATATATAATAATTAATAATTATTATATGAACCAGGGCGAAACACAGAAATTATTAGTTACGAAATGAGGACATTTTTTCTTCGTTTGTGTTAAAATAAGGTGACCACATTTTTTTTAAGTCAAAAACGGGACTGCAATTTTTACACAGTTATGCTAATTTGGAACGGGATGGTGTTTCTAAATAATAATTATAATTTAAAATAACAAAAACAGTATTTGTTATTTTAAAAAATCAATTTTCAATTTTTTAAGGAGTTTTGTAAGGAGATTTTTTTGAATCAGAATTACTGAACGAGACTTCATTATTCTATAATCTTATATTTTTGGATCTATTGTATGTTTTTTTCGCTTTTAAGCCTTGTATAAAATTGTTGTCATAAAATTTAGCACTAGTTCGTTTCAATTTTCATAAAATTAGAAACGATCGAAATCATTAATGTGGGAGGCTATTTTTACCCCCCTTTGGAATTTTGCATTCGGAAATTTTTTCATTCGTTATCACTTTCAGATATTTGATGGGCAGTTTATCAAGTAATTGCGAAGATTCATTATTGACCTATACTTTTTGAAAACCCGAGACAAATATAGCTTTTAGAAAAACCCGGGATACAAGGTGTAAATCCAGGACTGGTTACCTTATTTAAAATTTAATATTTATTTTGATCACTAACATTATCTAATTTTTATAATGAAGGTGTTATGTGGCGTGAATTGATTAAATATGTAAACTAGCTGTAAGTGGAATTCTGTCTTAAGGCAATTAAGGCATCGTGCTTTGAGGCAAATTGCTGGAACTTCCCGTACCAAAAATTATTATTTTTTCAACATTTTTGAAAAAAATTTACTTCTAAAAAATAAGATTTTTGAGAAACTATAAATTGGACTTAAATTACTTTTTTTTTGAAAAAAAATTTTTGAAAAAAAAATTTTTTTTTTAATTTTTTTATTTTTGAAAAAAAAATGTTTTCTTTATTTTGACATATTTTGGAAGATCTAAACTTTTTTTCAAAGCAATCGTACTGCTTTAACTGCATAAAGACGAAATATCAAAACGCGTAAGCGCCGCGTCGCCGTCTAACGCGTAAACATTGGTACGTAACCCATATGAATGTAAACCAAATTTATACTTATTGTTAAAATCTCTATAAAATATCTGATAATTTGATGTGCATATGTCTAATGATCATTTTTGACCGCCAAATGGCATTTTTTTTTTTACTTTTTTTTATTAGATCTCCGAAACCGCTAGACCTGCCTTTATGAAAATTTGATCGGTTTTTCACCTTGTCAATACAAGCAAAATGTTTTTTAAATTATTAAAATCGGACGCTCCGTTCTCTTAAAAACTGAGTTACCGTTTTCGGCACTTTTTGCCCCGTATTTGCGGAACGGCTAGACCTGCCTTCGCCAAAAACTAATCAGCACGTCTCCTTATCAATACGAATCGAATGTTCTTTGAATTATTCAAATCGGTTGATCGGTGTTCCCGAAATCGTCGACAAAAATTTGTATCCGCACATACATACACACACATACATACATACATACATACATACACACACACACACACACACATACATCCATTTTTTCTAAGGTATGTCAAAATATTCAGAAACCTTTGAAACGTCGAGAAATGCAAAAATTTTCATTTTCGATTTTTTTGCGATTACTATAACTTCTCCTACGGGAAGTTAATTATTGATCAGCGCATCTGATAATTCCGATGAGTGGATTTCGGGATGATGATGCCGCATGATTGCGAAGATGCAGTGGCCCGTTTGCGCAACCCTGCGCTTATCGGGCCTCGCCGTCCAACGTTCGTCGTTCCTCGCCCGTAGTAGTGCGAGAGTGTGGCGGCGGCGTGGCCTTCGTGTTCGCTAGAGCCGACCTAGCACACCTGTCGTGTGCCTTTGCTCGTGCAGTCTGTACCTTGCAGTCCACGAGTTTGCAAGCAGTACGCGCGCGAGTTTGTGTCCGTCGTGTCAGCCTTGTGTCATGTGAATAAAAGTTGTCGACAGCGAACGTCGTCAATAACACACGCTCTCGAGACAACATCTCGTTGTGCAACAAACAGTGATAACGATACCAATTGTCGTGGTGACATCATGTCGCAAGTTTCAGGACACGAAAAAGCGAGGCTCTGCCATGTCATCAAATCCGAAACTTTCGACGGTTACGGATTCAACCTGCACGCCGAAAAGGGCAAGATAGGACAATTCATAGGCAAAGTGGATGAGGGGTCGCCCGCAGAGAAAGCGGGACTGAAGCAGGGAGATCGCATCTTGGAGGTGAACGGCGCGAGCATTGCCAATGAGACGCACAAGCAAGTGGTGCAGCGCATCAAAAGCGTCCCGAACGAAACGCGGCTACTGGTGATCACGCCGGGCGAAGGGGAGGATACCGTCACCATCGACACACGGATAAGACCAATGACAGCCAAACCCAGAAGAATTCCTCCAATAACATGTCTAGTCCCCAGAATGCGACACAACTCAATAACAACGAAAAAACAACAAAACAAGAAGATACTGAAAAAAATGATAAGGCTACACCGCAACTGAATTTAGGAATGACCGCCGCCGAATTGCGTGCGAAATTGCTCGCTAAGAAGAAGTATGATCCGAAAAAGGAATCTCTGGATCTCAAGAAGAAATATGATATTGTTCAAAAATTGTAAATCTAATCTACTCAATAATTATTACGAAATTGGATGATGCAAGCGTGAATCTTGTGTCTATACACTTGATTGGATAACGATCACGCTCTTGGTTTTTTTACTTACGATTTTGTTACCCAAAAAACAGGTTTGTCTGAGAGCGTCTTCAAGCCTGCTCGTTTGATTCAGTATTTCTAAAACGTTTAATGAGTAGTCGTACCGTTTACTCGGCTTATCAGTTTTGGGTTGTACACATTGAAATTTACATACGGCTTGTGCAAGTTGCTTGCATGGATTATTTGCATACTTGTACATCGAAAACACTGTGTACTTATATCTACTAGATAATACCATATTACAGAATAGCACGTGCTCGCTATTTTTTTAAAGTTTGGTACGTTTTTATGTGTTGTTACTAAAAAAATATCGCACCACAGCGTATTGCAAAAAGTTAAAAAAAAGCACATAGGTCGTAGAATATTTATGACAATTAGTAATTTCTTTAAAGAATAGTGGATAATAAAATATCCAAACGATACCAACCAAATGTAAAATATATTAATGTTGTGATTGTATGAAAGAAGTGCCTTGTTGATTCTGTGAGTGAAAAAATGTACGAAAGGACGAACAAAGTCAAATGAGTAATGTTAATGCAAATTCAGTTTTGATTTTAACAAGAACTTTATTTTTGTAAATTATATTTAAAATTATTTTATTAAGATTCTTTAAATTGTTGTTTATGTTCTTATTTTATAGTTATTTTTTGTATGTATATTTTAAATTTATTACTTATTATGTTCTATTCGATGCAATTTTATTAATTATAAATTCGCAATATGTAAAAACTAATTATGAATGTTATTTTTGTCGAACACGATGAAATGTAAATGAACAACATTGATAGTACTTATATAATATACTAATATTCGTGCCATTATTTAAAAATGGCCAACTGTGTAATTAATGTTTATTATGTAAATATAAAGTTATATTGATCATACACAGTTTTTTTCTTTTGCATGCCTTAGACAGATCTGTTGTTTTAAATGATATATTTCTTGCAATAGATTTTAAATTTTAATTCAGTATTCCTAAATTTTGATTTAGGTAACAATTCTGTTGTGTATTATTTACCGTGTTTTTTTTATTGAAAAGTAAATTTTATGAATTCATTACATAAATGCCTCTCTTCATTTCAAGATAACAAAACAATTATTTGAACTATAATGCATTAAACGTAACTATCACTAGATAATATTATGTGGCAAAAATATCACAAAAACCACAAATATAATATTATTTGGTCTATTCGAGATATCACAAATGCATTTTCTGAGATAAATAAATATTGTAGATAGAGTAGATTTTCGGAACTTCTTAACTAGTATAATTCAACAATATTATCTAGTTGTGTTATGGATTAATTCGAAGAAATATAAAAGTAGTGTAACCTGTTTTAAAAAAAATATGTATGGTTTCATCTTAAATAAATTTATAGTATTGTTTATTTAAATGAATACAGTTAAAATGCTGTCGGGTTATAATTCGTAGACGACTTTCTGATTAAAAACAGCTTTAGAATATTTGTTCAGTGTGTTATTTATGACAGTGCATTGTAATTAATTACAAATATTTATTTTATGACAAGCAGGCGCACATCATTAACGAAAAATATTTTTTGGCATGTCAAACTTGAGATAAACAATAAAAATAAATATTAATACTCATTCGCTTTTTAGCTCAAACATTATTTATAATATATTATTGGTAATATGTAACTTATTGCAAGCAGGGAAAAATACAATGATAATTCATAAATGGTAATTTCAACTCAAATTTTTGATTTATTGGTATATTGATCGTGGTAAAATTCTAATATTTTAGTCTTTTTACTATCAAAACTAAGCCGATATTTCTTTTGTGCATCTAAATTTTATCAAATCGTCAACTATTTCTTCTTATTTCATATTAAATTTCACATTTTTTGTGAATCCAATGCTAATTAAAAACCAAAAAGTTTTATAACAAGATTTTTATTTATTATCGTTGTTTCGGAACTTAGTACGTTCTATTTACAGGACATCTTTCAAGAATGATGATTAGATATAATAATACACATCAAAAACTATATACTTAAAAAAAATACAAATAAAAATAGTGGATTTTTATAAAATTAATTTAATTGTGAAAGACAGGAAATTGTGTAATAAATATAGAAATAAATATTAAAATAATAGCTAGATTTTTTTTTAGAAAAAGGGGAATTAAGAAAAAAACAGAATTTGTTACACTAACTACTTGTTACACTAATTTGATTATACACTAACACTTTATTGTTAATCCCCTTTTTTAAAAAAAAATCTAGCTATCATTTTAATATTTCGTTATATTCATTTATTATTAGTTTAATTTTTATTATATAAAATATAATTTCATGTTTTTCATATTTTGATTATTTTTATAACAATCCACTATTTTTATTTTTTCTTGAGTGTATTGTTTTTGGTTTGTTTATATCAACACAGGATCATGTTTCTTGACAGATATCCCGAAGATGGAACGTATATAATTCCGTAATAATTTTTTTTTTTACTTTTTTTTTAATTCCAAGGCTTAACTATATATATATATATATATATATATATATTAATTTTCGTACAACTAAAAGCAAGAATTTCTTTCTGGTGGTTTAACTTAAACAAAATCTAAAATGTTCGCATTGATCTAATTATCAAAAATATTACTCTACGGGATCAAAGGTTGTACAGTTTTCAACATTTTTGCGAATTGAGATAGAAGAAAGTGGAAGTGCACCACAACAATTATTTTCATGAAAATATTTTATATGTAAGAAACTAGGCATAAGTGGCATAAGTTGCATGAGCGTCCGACACGTCGTGTAAATAATTGAAGTAATCAAATAAATGTATTGATTTATAATTATACCGAATTGCTGTAGAGCATAATTCTAATATTAGAAACTATTGTAACTTTTCAATTTGCACAATCTAAAGTATTGTCTAAAAGAGTATTTTCTAAAAAACGGCCGATTAATCTGAACTTAATTTAATTTTTATAATTAAACTACTTGTAGGACTCTAATATTTTAGTATGAGACCAGGAATTCTATCGTTATACAATACTTTAAATCGCCAAAAACAATTTGTAAATAATCAATTACGAAAAAACAAATTTCCCAAAAACTAACCAGCACAAATTTTTGACTAACGCCAAAAAGCGCCACTGTTTTTTCAAACTTCCATGAATTTTCATAATTCAGCCACTTTTTAAAGGTCTCTAATATTTTAATGTGTTAATTTACAATTGAACTGTGTGAACTCTATCATCATACAAAGTTTTGTCAAAATCAACTAATAAAAAACTTTTTCAAAGAAACTTTCCGGCCGATATTAACCAGATTTCTTGCTGATATTTATGGAACGATTTTTAGATTTTCAAAATTGGTTGAGAATTTTTTTTGAGAAATCTTTTTATATTTCGTCAGCACTTTTCTGCAAATTCTAAAAAAATGGCTCGGCCGATCTTAACCAGAAACTAATCAGCAAGAATTCTTGCTGATATTTATCGAACGATTGTTAAATTTTCAAAATTGGTAGAGAATTTTTTTGAGAAAACTTTTTGATATTTTGTTAGCACTTTTCTGCAAATTCTGAAATGATGGCTCTACTGATCATCTCGAAAAAGTAATCACAACTTATGAAATTTGTTTTCATAATTTCTCATACCAGACACCCCTGCCTGACTGAGATATGAAAATAATATATAAATAAATAAAATAAAAAATAAAAAATAAATTATATCAAAAAAAAATTGAAAAAATTTCAAAGAAATTGCATTTTTTTAAAAAAAAACGTCGATTAGAGGTCAAAAATTGGCTCTCATATACGCACACATACTTTTACCAATTTTGGGGTCAAACTATTCAGAATGATTATGTCGAGAAAATATAAAATTAGCAAGGCGGATTTTCCATGGTAAAATCTTACAAACTGTATTTAATTTCGACATCCGAACATGAAACGTGAAATAGGATCACAAGTCGTTTGAAATTGCTCTACGTTGCAAACTAGGTAAGGTGTAAACGTGAGAATTAATAAATTCTTTAGAAACGATAAAAAATATTTCAACGAATTCTTTAAGTATTGACAAAAGTAAAGATATTTTTAAAGCTCACAATCAGTTGCGCAATTGTATGCTATAAGTTATGCATAAATATAACATATTATATCATATCAGAAATCATATGATGACGATTAGCATAAAGAATAATTTCTCTTCCTAGTTTTCGTAATTGTTTATTTTATATGAATCTTTTACTTATATAATTTCGTAATACGTACGACGGCGGCCCTGAGGACATGTCATCGCGGTTCACTTTACGAGTTATCAGGATGCGTGCAAATAATCGCGATATTATTTGTGTCATGTGCTCTTTTATGCAATATTATTCTATGCTACCTGCATATTGCAAATAAATATTAATATTTTTATTATGCTCGCTTCCATGTGTGTTTGAACATAAATTATTGCATTATTTGCAATAGTGTAGTAGTGTAGTAGTAAAAACATTAATAATTTTTATTACTTCACTGAAATTATAATGGACTTCGAAAATATTTATAGTACATAGTTTAAATTTATCTAGATAGCTATTCTAAATTATGATTTTATTTTTCTGAACTAAAAGCCTCATGTTTTCTCAAAAAAAACTTATTAACTTCCCGAAGGAATTTTTCATCAAAAATTTGGACTCGCTAAATTTATATTTTCTCGACGTTTCGAGCCATTCTGAATAGAATGAAACCAAATTTGGAAAAAGTATGTGTGTGAACAAATTTTTTACCATAAATCGACCGAAACTAGACCGATTTCAAAAAATTAAAAATCGTTAGATGTCTCGATGAGGACCATCGTTTGTTAGTTTTGCGCAATGATCGGCCGAACCGTTTCTTTGTAAATCGCAGAAAAGTGAGAAAAAATTTGTCTACGTGTTAGCCCGCAATTCTGAATCGTGCTGATTAGTTTTTGGTAAACATTCGCTGGCACAATTTCTTGTAATTAACGGTTGAAATTTTTTTTTCAACGATTTTCATTAATTTTTTTTTGGAGATAGATATCATGGTCTTCTAGATCATGCTAAAATATTATGACCTTACGACAAGTTGTTTATTTCAAAAATTCGTCAAAGTTTGAGAAAATTAGTCGCTTTTTTGGCGTTTGCTAAAACTATACCTTTTATCGACGTTTGCTCAAAAACGTCTGAACCGATTTCAAAAATTTAAAAGCCATTCGATGTATCTCGTTAATCTTTGTAATTTTCAAGAGAGTGTAAAACTTTTCGTCCACATTTTAGCTCACAATCCTAAATCGATTATAATAAATCAATCTGGTTACAGACAGAGATTTGTAAATAAAATATGCAAAGCATTCCTCACTTTCAACTTTTGCATAGAGAATTGTGCGAAGAATTTACCAGCTATTAGAATAAATCATATATCAGAGATTGCAAACCATTTTGCTTAATAATTAATTAAAACGGTTAGATGAATAATATACTCTATAATATCAGAAATAATAATAATACATAATAAGAAATCAAAAAAATAAAAGAATGAAGTAACAAAGAAAATAAAGTTAAAATT